AGGACTCTGTTAGTGGTAGAGCTGAGAAACTGTATTTTCAGAAAGTCCCAAACTCAGTTTTAAATTATTCTCTTTGCTCACTTTTTAATGGAAAGGTAAGTCTCCAGAATCTAGCTCTTTTTTAAATGGAAAATGTGCAATATTATCTAAGGCAAGTATAAAGTTGATTTACTATGCATGATTTTTTCAGTTTGTACACATTCAGTATGGTTATATTTTTGCTCAGGATGTATATATATATGTATATTTTTTTTTTCTGCTGAACTTTTCTCGATTGCTTTTTTTATCGGGTTTACAAATCAAATCAAACAGGTATATTGCAGAGCTCTGATATTATTTTCTCTGCTTATAGCACAATGTATTGAATTATGCTTGCTCATGTACTGCTGCTGCTATTCTCTCCAGATTGAGAGAGAATGACTGTGGGGGCTGTAAATTCACTTGGCTTCCAGCACCACTGGTTAAATCAAGAGCCCTATTCAGGCTAGAGAAGAGACAGAGCAAGTGTTCATTACACAAATCAATTTGGTCAAAAGTACAGCACAGTGGGTACTCAACCATTGCTCACATAATATTGTCAACTTAATCAAATAATGCCTAGAAGACATTCACAAGCTCTTTCCCTCTGAGAAATAACTTGATTGGTGCAGCAGGAAAAAACAGGTGCTGTTTTGAGCATTTTTTTAAAAATTTAATGAGTGCTTTCTTTTTCTTTCTAAATTTAAAATCTCAAGGAGCTTTACCCTGTGCTATATAGAGTATAAGACACTCAGCAACTAAGTTTGCCATTAAGCATATTTAAGAAAATAATCTATTGCTGTTTTCCCCCCTTTCTCTTCTCCCTGTAAATATTTTCCAGTATGTTCCTGCTGGAATTAGACTGTTCTTCCTTTAGAGTTGGTGTGGGTTTTAAAGACATGCAACCAATTATTATTTGTTTACAGATCCGAGAATAATGATCAGGACTTGGTAAAGCTTTTTCACGTTCTTCTAATACAACCTATTTTCAGTTTGTCCAGGAAGAGATAAAAGGTTTAGTTCCATTTTAGTCATTCCTGCTGTTTATGTTCCATTCACTCTTTACAGTGCTGAGATTGAGGACAACGTTCTTTTTGTCCTGGTGTGCAAACACGTCTTCTGTGACAGCATTTCATTACCTTGAAAACGGGAGTGGAGAGTGAAAGATTTTTGTCTACACCACCGTTGTTTTGTAGAAAATGAAAGAGATTAGTCAGTGAAAAAGAATGGAGGGAAAGTGTAACACTTACAATTCCGGTGTAAGAAACGTTGCAGGGCTGACTGTCTGCAGTGATGGATGGAAAGGGCTACAGAAAATTTGTATTAGCTGGGAAGGAGAATGGAATGGGTTTTTTTCTGCCCAAACGTTGTACACAAGGCCCCCTCTGATTTCAGGTTCACTGATCGTTGTTTTATTGCGGGTGGTACCTTTGCCACAAGTGCTAAAGATGGGAGGTGAGAACTCCTGTGTCCAGTCAAGAATAACCTGGGAAATGGGTTTGCACAATGATTTGCTGGATGAAGGTTTTAGAATGTATTTTTGACTGAAATATACTGACAATCTGGATTAGAAAGGCCTTAAAAAAGGGGTGGTGGGGGGGGGAGAGATGTCTTCTCCAAAGAGAACATTTTCAAATTTATTTTATCCAGACACACATCTTGTTTAGTAGTTTTCTTCACCTTTATAACGTTTTTAAATTCTCAGATAAAAGCTAGAAAGTGAAACCAGAAGAATTTTCTTTACAGTGAGGTCTTCAGGAAGTTGAGTGAAATCTTGTAAATAATAGAAGTTTTAGGTTTCTAGAACTCAGACAAGGAAACAAATTAACAAAAAAATATTTTGGAAAAGATAAATAATTTCTTTAGAAAACAATATATATCAACCCTCCTGATGATGGATTTGGTTTAAAAGTATACCATATTTATACTGAAAGTATCTTCATGAAAAAAAAAAAACTCTGTGAGATACCCTCTTTCATATGGGTTTGCTTACCTGTAAGAATGGTTTCAATTTTCATTTATTCTTAAAAGTAAGCCTGAAGTAAAGGGAGATCATCTGAATTTATTTCCCTGTAAGTGAGAATTTGGTCTTCTATTTCTACATTCTGTATTTATAACTTTCATTATAAGTTTTAAGACTATCATATATTAAGATTCTTTAATATTTTATAGTTGCAAATACATAGTGGAATAGGCACCAGAAAGCAGACTGACTGCATGCAAGACTGCAGGGATGTAGCAAGGATAATGCCATATACTAATTTCAATTAATTTTTAAAGAAATACAGAACACCAGTCTTCAGTGAAAATATTCTCTTGAAATGTATTATGTATGTGTAAGGTGAATTGCATTCAAGTTCTGTGAGTCCACAGAGCTCATAAACTGGGATTTTTCCAAATCCAGCCTGTCCTCTGTCCTGTGTGTGTTTTACCTCTTTGGTGTTACTTGGAAATTTTTGAGTAATCTTCATCTTCCAATTTCAATTTGCAGTTCTCCTTCTCCATATGTTCCTAGGCAGATCCATAGATTTCTTGGTGATAACATGCTTTGTGAAGAGACTGTTCCATTTCCAAGGCTTTTAATATATTTTGAATGGTTTAGTTCTGTTAATTCTGCCACAGGGATCTCGAAGGTCATGTACAGGTATAAGCTGTGGAGGATAGTGACTTTTTGAAGTCTCTATTTTTTCAGTCCTCACTGCCCAAACTCCAATATATTCTTTACTGAAAGTGTAAATTTGAGGCTTCTTGGAATAAAAATGGTTTTAAAAGTCACAGAAAATAACATTATCTGATTTTACCCACTTCACCCATAGTTTGTAGCTCCTTCCTTCTAACATCATCTTCAGAAACCTCACTGGATTTTGCTGACAGTGTATCTGTTCAGATGCTTGGTAGGCAAGTTGCTCCCCGTGTTTTGCTGTGCTAATAGTGCCTGGTTCAGCCCTCCCACTCATTTCTCATCATTTATATTAATACAAAGAACAGAAATTGCTTTTGCCAATTTGCATTTATACAGGACGCTGATTATGTAATTTCTTCCTGGGGCACCCTTTGTTCCTGAAGCTGAACAGCACCTTCAGAATTCTTTAATTCTCTTCAGATTAATCTAATTGACCTTAAATTCTTCCAGAGTGTTCTATTTCAAGAGTTTCCAATCTCTTATTCCACCCC